GTAGGCATAGTGTTAGGTACCCAGTGGTCATAGTGTTAGGTACCCAGTGGGCAATGTGTTAGGTACCCAGTAGGCATAGTGTTAGGTACCCAGTGGTCATAGTGTTAGGTACCCAGTGGGCAATGTGTTAGGTACCCAGTAGGCATAGTGTTAGGTACCCAGTAATGCATAGTGTTAGGTACCCAGTAGGCATAGTGTTAGGTACCCAGTAGGCATAGTGTTAGGTACCCAGTGATATATGTTTGCATAAACTGAAATGCAGTGGACTTTGTAACAGATGTACCAAAAGAGTGCCCTTTGAACTTTGTTTTATTGCTTCAGAGTGGATTTTTAAAAAAAACTAAACAACACTTGTTTACCATACTAGTAATTTAATTGTCCATTTACAGAGAAATACTACTAGGTATTGCAAGTAATAAAGTAATTCGTGAACTGAAACTTGATCTTAGCTGCAATGAGGTGAGTCGTTTTTTGACTGATTGATATGCTGTGACAGCAAATAATAACCAGAAACACCAGTGGTGTCTCATTATATAATTGACAATATATTGATGTTAAATAGTTAAATGTTGATTTGTAATGATTAAATTGATAAAACTTGTGTGTACTTTTCAAGTAAATAGATTTTTAAGTAAACTGCAAATGCAATAATTATTCATTGCAAAATTTATTACTTTAAAATCTAGGATTTCAGACATGTGTACCCGGTAGTATAATTATACCTTCTTCTGTTGAATATTCTGTGAACTGTTTATATTTCACAAAAGTTGATTACACTCTGTGTCTTAGATCCCCAGTGAAACTACCACTGCTACAAAAGTCCTCTATTTTCACAGAATTGAAAATCAAAGCTGTTTGCATTTGATAAGAATAATTGAGTTCTATTTGGAAATTTGGCTTGCCCCCTCGGGTTCGGGCATGGCAGTAATATTTTAACTATAATAGCTATTTTGGGAGAAAACTCAAAAACACAACATTCCATATACATATATTTATGTGGTATTGTCACTGGAGAGAAATTGTGGAAATGTTTGCATGATAGTCACAACCATGTTGAATCTCTGCAGTTGTCATGATATGTCTTGCTTTTAGCTTTGGGTTCTAGATACTGTATACCCTATGTGTGTAATTAGTCCTCGTTCGGACACAGTCCCAAAACTGGGACTTATGTTTTGACCTCCGTGTGTCCATGCGTGCATGTGGACCTGTATCTTAGAAATGCTTGGACCAATCACAATCAAACTTCACACATACATCATACATGATATCATACATATGCACGTCATTTTGTTTCACGATCTCATTCAAGATGGCTGAATGGCGGCCATTTTTGTGCTAAAAATCATCGAAATCAAACATTTCTCGGCTGTTTACAGATGGATTTTGTTCAAACCTTGTATATACGTTGGACATTATAGAACCTTGATGAACATCATTTTGTTTTACGATCTGATTCAAGATGGCCGAATGGCGGCCATTTTTCTCGGCTGTTTAGAGATGGATTTTTAGACATTATGGCACCTTGATGCAAATAATTTTGTTTTTCAGATAACATTCAAAATGGCCGACTGGTGGCCATTTTGTTTTAATGAATGGTCTTTTAGACCCATATCTCCAACTTGTTTTGACTGATTATGTTCACATTTTAAATATTCATTATACATCATGTCATAGACAGATATATTAGTTCCTATTCAAATCCTATTCAAAATGGCCGATTTTTTGTGCTAAAAAATCATCAAATATCAAGCATTTCTGGCATTTATGGATGGATTTTCGTTCAAACTTGGTACATACATTAGACATTACGGGTTCCTGATGCACGTCATTTTATTTTTCAGATCAGATTCAAAATGGCTGTCTGGTGGCCATTTTGTTTTTATGAATGGGTTTCAAGACCCATATGTCTGACTTGTTTTGACTGATTATGTTCAAATTTTTAATATTCATTTTACATCATGTCATAGATATGGTGGCCTAATGGTGGCTATTTTTGTGCTAAAAAAATCCTCAATATCAAGCATTTCTGGCATTTATGGATGGATTTCGTTCAAACTTATAACATACATTAGACATTACAGGCTCCTGATGCGCGTCATTTTATTTTTCAGATTGGATTCAAAATGGCTGACTGGCGGTCATTTTGTTTTAATGATTGGGCTTCTAGAGCCATATCTCTTAAATGCTTTGACTGATTATATTCAAATTTTATATATTCGTTATACATCATGTTATATAATATATATACATGTACATGTATTCAAAATGGCTGATTTTTGAATGCTGCTCCAGAGCAATATCTCTCAATATGGACAAGTACTTGTTTGACGATCAGATACAAATGTCAATCATTTTAATGTTAAAAAATCATGTTCCTGACATGGTTATATTCCAGCTATATTACTACATGTATAAACAAAATTATATATCTTAAATTTGTTAACTAACAGGGACTGTGCCATGCATGGCTTGTTTTATTCATGCTGTGTGATGTTGACACTTTAATATTAAAAAATTTAGAATTTCTTCGTTGTTGTTTTAGCTTAAATATGAAGGAGCCGACATAATTGAAGGATGCATTGGAAATATTGCAGCAATAGGGTCATTAGATATCAGTGAAAATGGGTTTGATGTCCGCACAGGTCAGTTAATTGACTGGATACGTCAGAATAAATTCATTAAGCACCTGTTTGTTGGTGGTAACTTGCACAGCGTAAGACAACACAGGAGGTAAGTATTCTTTGGTGAACTTTATTCAATGCAGCTTGAGATGAATTCAAATTTTGTACTACTGAGCATGTTACTGCACATATTTGCAATGTATTATGGGAGATAAACTCCCATTGCATATATGGAAAAATATTATCACCCTGGAAACTCACTAAATTAGAATTATCAGTAAAATATACAACTTTTTCATTCCTGGTCACCAAGCATAATTCTGTGATATGAACTAATAATGTTACCATAGAAACCAGTGTAAAAATGGCAATTTTTACCATTTTTCATGGTATCTTATTTCTCACAAATCATCTGGTGTTGCCACTTTTGTTTGGTATTCTGTTGGTATAAATTTAACCTTTTCACGATTGGACTTTTTGTTTATGTGCATGTATTTACCTGTACACTGTCTTAACAGTTTAACAGACTTTCAATTGGCAGCCAAAATTTAAATAGCCAAATCCCCATAATTCTGCCAATGGTGCTTCGCGTTGGGTGCCTTCTCTTTTATTTTCACTTTCTTTTTCACTTGCCATACTTCATTTGATCGGCAAAATTGCTTAAGTTTACAGTTTCTCAGTATTCAGTCAAATCATAGACATAATCTTTTTTTTTTGCTTCCTAGCTTTAAAACAGCGAAATCTCATTTGCCTTCTTTTTTTCTATTCCTGTTTATTTATTTTTTGTGCCTGATCTCAATTTCTTCAAATCTTCATCTCCTATGGGTGGGTACAACACTAAAGGCCTGAAAAAAGATAAATGTTTCTGGTCAGCAAAAAAAGTGGGGGTTGAGCTGTTTTTTCTTCATTGCACATCGCCCTCTGTTGTTGAATTGATTAATTCTGCAAAATTGAAGCCCCGTCTAATATTTTAGCAAAAAAAATAAATAAATAAACCCCATTTTTGAAAAACAAATTTGACTAGAAACATATTTTTTTGTGAGGCCTATTAAGAGTGTTCAAACAAAATTTTGAAAATCTATTAATATTTGGAAAAAGTAATCTATAATATTATATGGGTCTATAAGAGATTCTTGAAATTTGAAGATTCTCCTAAAATATAATAAAGTAACTGAGTTATAATTACAACACAGTGAATATTATGTTTGATTTGGTCACTGAGACACCACAACTTTCACTGCATGCTTGCTTCAGCGCTCCGGAATTCTAGGATTTGTTGCCATAGGAACTGATTTTATCATTTTTCATGGTGATCACAATAGTCAGTGAATGTGGGAATACCATTTTCAGTTGATGCCTTTGGCTCATGTAAATATTACAATAAACAACTTTTTCCAAATATCAATAGATCATTTTGCTTGCTGTTTATTCTATTTTTTTGTTTATTTATATATACTTTAACAATTAAAATGCTAGCTCAAATTCCTTGTTCAAACTTTCTTCAAGCTCTTGATTCCTAATACATGATATTTTTATCTGCTTGGACTACTTGTGTGCCTTGTACCTGTCATAGTCCTTTCAATACTAATGTCTTGGATTAGTTTTAATTAAAAAAAATCCATTAAAGTTTCCCTGTGTTTTAATTAGGATAATTAAGAATCTAATAAATTTTCTTTTCTGAAACTAAACTTTAATTAAACTCTAGAGCAGATTATTAAAAGCATGGTTTGAAAACATAAATGAAATATGCAGGTTTTGATTTTTAATTATTTGTTTCATTTTTATTTAGTGTGGTTTTTGCCAACTAATCCAAGCATAGATTAGAATATTGACTCACCTACTGTTAGTCAGTGTTAGTCAATGTACATGTACACTACATTTTATCTGCTACATCATTTGATTTGTGTACACTGTTTACACTTACAAAACTGTCACACGAATACCTACATGTAACACACCACTAACCCTAACTTATGTATTGTACCGTACATAGAATCATACTAATTCACATACCATGCCACATAACATTACCTCACATACCATGCCACATAACATTACCTCACATACCATGCCACATAACATTACCTCACATACTATGCCACATAACATTATCTCACATACCATGCCACATAACATTATCTCACATACCATGCCACATAACATTACCTCACATACTATGCCACATAACATTACCTCACATACCATGCCACATAACATTACCTCACATACTATGCCACATAACATTATCTCACATACCATGCCACATAACATTATCTCACATATCATGCCATATTACATTATCTCACATACCATGCCACATAACAGTATCTCACATACTATGCCACATAACATTCCCTCACATACCATGCCACATAACATTCCCTCACATACCATGCCACATAACATCCCTCACATACCATGCCACATAACATTATCTCACATACCATGCCACAATAACATTTATCTCACATA